GAGAGAGAGAGAGAGAGAGAGAGAGAGAGAGAGAGAGAGAGAGAGAGAGAGAGAGAGAGGATCTGTGGTCGACGTCAGCTTCTAACATGGCAACGAAAGGTAAGCTAAATTTTTTTTTTGTTATCCCTTTGAAAATGCGATTTTTGCGGCGATGTTTGTGTAATGCCACGTAGGAGGCCACTATTCAGTCGAGGAGGGGATCGAACCCCCACCCCTCACAAATCTCTGTTTTTTTTTTTTCCGAAATCATAGGAAAAGGCCACGATGATGGCGATCTTTGCGTAATGCCACGTAGGAGGCCACAGATCAGTCGAGGAGGGGATCGAACCCCCACCCCTTACAAATCCCTGTTTTTTTTTTTTTCAAATCATAGGAAAAGGCCACGATGATGGCGATGTCATTGCGTAATGCCACGAAGGAGGCCAGAGATCAGTCGAGGAGGGGATCGAACCCCCACCCCACACAAATCCCTGTGTTTTTTTTTAATTCGAAATCATAGGAAAAGGCCACGGTGATGGCGATCTTTGCGTAATGCCACGTAGGAGGCCACAGATCAGTCGAGGAGGGGATGGAACCCCCACCCCTCACAAATCCCTTTTTTATTCGAAATCATAGGAAAAGGCTACGGTGTCCTTCAAAGATCTCGTTCCGTTAAACTTCAAATGTTTTGGAGATATGACGGCACGAGAGAAAAAATTTGCATTGCGGTTGATGATAGATAAGAAAGTCATTGCCACTACTAGACTGATTCCTCCTGGGAAGTAGAATATGACCAACCTCCTCGACATCATAATGCGCGAGAGGTACATGATGCGTCTGTTCAACTACATCGTCTTCAAATCGGATAACAGAGAGGCGAAAGAATGGAAGGACGAGAACTTCTTCGACTATGAAAACGTGGAGGAGAGGTTTGGCGTTAAGGCAGGCGAATGGGATGAGGAAAGGGATAGGATCCCTTTGGAATACGTCCGGAGGGTTTCGAAAAGACTCGGCGGAAAGCAAGAGGAAAAAAACCTGAAAGGAGCTGGTCCAAAGGCCACGGAGGCGTTGTACAGGGGCGCGCTATTCCACTTTAAGTACTTCGTGTACCACGCCATAGGGAAAGTGAACTTGCTGACAGCTGAGTTGCGACAATTGAAGAACGTTGCGCTTCATCTGTGCTGGGAGAAGAAAGGGCAACGGTCGACATTGCTGCCGGTCAACATGCACCCGAAGGAGTTGCTGCCCGCGGGCGACGAAATTGTGACTGCAGCCACATTGAGCCACAAACTTGAATTGCAAGGCCGTCATCCTCGATCTCGCAAAACCGAAGGATTGCCTTGCATGGTCGCCGACCGATTTCGATGCTCTGCACAAAATGATGTCGAAATTGTGCGGCAGTAATTCGATTCTAATTGTTTTTGCCCCGCAAAAACAACAGAAGATCGTCATGCGGCAACTGTACAACTGGGACGACGTAGACGTGATACCTGGGACTTGAAAACATTATCTCGTGGGGACGGCTGTCAGCAAGTACGAAAACTTGCAAGCCAACTACAAGGACACGATGGCGGTCGTCCTGCATGCCGAGGGCGGCGACCTCAGGAAGGTCACGAGGATCCCTAAGTCGGAGGCGGAGCTAGTGGAGCTTCACGTTGAGGAGGAGAAGTTCAAGAGGTGCACAACAAAGTACGGCGGCGGTGAAGGAAACGAACGAGAGGAATATGGGCGGTGGGAACGACATCCGACACGGATGCAGAAGCTATGTAGTTCATTTCTGCACATGGATCAGGGGGTGTTACTTATCGGAACGCCACATGCTGGACTTCTGTGGGAGCTTCTGCGCGCGGGCTATCATGTTTTTGCATGCGACGGATCATCTAAAGACATCTCGTACATGACAAAGGCCATCGACATTCTTGGGAAGGACGCAAGAAATGATTGCACGGTTGAAAGGCAGAAGATGGCGCAGCGCCCGGATAGAGATATGTACCACAAGCTGGGCAAGAAGAGAAACAAGATGTGGGACTATCTGTTCCAAGGCCAACCCAAATCGCCATTTGAGAATGACTACATAATTCGCAAAGCGATGACACAGGAAGAGTATGGTGGCTACCATAAAGCGCAGGTGGGTGCGTTTGCAATGTTCGTGGCGAGATGTGAACAAATAAGGTTCGGAGCCAATCAGGCTACGCTGTCGTATGATGAGTACAACAAAATTGCCAAAACAACCGATTCATGGAATCCGATAGAGAGCGACGAGGAGACCGAAACATCGGACCTTGAAATCGAAGAGCGAGTGAAACGTTTGCGAGAGGGAATGCAGAGTGTGCCAGCATGCAGCGTGCCGAACGCGAATCGAGAAGAAGGTCGCACGAAATCGGGAGGTGCGAGCAGTCCAATGCGTGACGTGACCGACAGGGCGAGTTCCGTTGAACAGATGCAAACGGATTCGCCTACGCCCCTCCAAGCACTTGATAATACATTGATTCATGACAATCGTCACTGTCTCCTGGGGAGGCATCGCACTCTTCAAGGAAACACGGAACACAACATGATGGCAGACGACGATGAGGATGACTTGGCGGTTCCAGATGCACTTCCAAGGCTGATGCCTGGTGATGATATTCCCAATCGCATTGTGCAGGTCAGTGAACAGCCGTAATTCATTGAAGACAAGGTGCCAGAAACGACGTCAGAGAAGTGGGGACACCATATTTTGTGGCACACAGACGTATTCGAGCCATGCATTTTCAAGGGGGAGAGAATGATGGCACTGCATCTAACATCGGGATGGAAAGTCAAAGCCAGACTGGCAGAAGTACCGTGGCTGAAAGTGACGAAGCGCGAAATCGTATTCCGTGTCAAGTGCGAAAACGATGGAGCGGACGAGGCGGCTATTGAGCAGAAGGCTTAATTGTTATTCGATTCTCTGCACGCCAGCAATCAACTGGAATACAAACACAAATTCTATGATTTCTCGTCAAGCCGGTCATACAAGACCATCGATTGGAAGATCGAACTTCCTGCATGTCAAGGCATCGAGACAATCCAGTTGGGATGCTCACAGCTTGGGGGCCAATTGACGACGCACTTTGCTGCCAGTGTCGGGGAAGCGATGAGTCAAACTAATGTCAAGATAATGGGGGTGGACAAGGGAACACGGAATGTCGATAAAGATCCTTCGAACGTTGCATCGTACGGGCCACCTCTATTAACTCAGGCGGAAAACCAGAGTGCATCGCAGATGGAGAGCCCCACTCCTTCCACAAACGTGGCAATTTCAGATCGAATGCAACAAGGTGGGTATGGAGAACATGCAAGTGAGGTGCAAAAAGATTCCGATAAGATGATGAAACTGTTGGATGAGGCGGAGAAGGATGGGAAGAGGAAGCTTGAGGGATCAACCACGTCCCAAACAGTGATTAATTGTATATCGTTAAGCGATGAAGGGGTAGACGTACATGTACAGAGGCATGATGACAATGAGGATGTAAGGGATAATGTCGATGAACAGAAGGAAGTGGATGACGGAGGTCGACCTGCGAGACGGTCGACAAGAGAAATAAAGAAAAGACACCCGGTTAATGTGTAGATATATGCAGAGGCTGAGTCCGGGTTGGTGCAACACTCTGTGTATGTGTGTTAGTGCTTGTACGCAACTCGGATAAATATTTTAGGCGATAGACGTGTGATATAATAATTGATTCCGCAGTGAATTGGAGAGGATCTCTCTCTCTCTCTCTCTCTCTCTCTCTCTCTCTCTCTCTCTCTCTCTCTCT